TCTCGGTTAATATATTATTCAGTTACCTGATAGAGTAATAATTTTCCCATAGCATTTTGACTGTTCGATTTCATAAAAAAGTAGTGAAAAGGCAGGTAAGCTGGGGTTGCGGAGGCATTCATAAATCTGAAATTTCATTTGAAATTCCAAAAAAAAGTTTTTAACAGGAGTTTTCGTATGTAACAAACGTATGGAGTATGAGAGACATGAAAAAACCCACCAATTCAAATTGTCCATGTGTGTTAAGTAAAAAGACTCACCTTGTTTATACTAACAAAATGTGGTCATCAGATATGTAGGATATTTCTTCTCCTAAGTTCTCTTTGACTAGTTGTAGATACTGGTTATTTCTTATTGTACATTATGTACAGAGCTGGTGCTCATACACAGCTTATCTCTAAGACATAATCCTTCATCCGTGAACTGAGGGTGGGATAGAGCACCAGTGTTTAAGTTAATTTTTATGCTTTCCTAACTGCAGAACAGCATGATACTGCACTGTAAAACAAAACAAAATGAAAACAATTTTTCAGTATCATGGAAGAAATGTAGTGACTTCTCTAAAGTGTGATTTCTAGAAAAAATGGGCTTCCCTTTTTTGTCACCTGAAAATTGTTCCCTTCAAAAATACACTTTGGATTTAAGATTTGTGATATATATCACTCTTGGAGAGAACTATGTGCTGTAATGAGTTTAAAAACACTGACGTGATTAAGATTTCACGGGAGATTGCCCAAAAGCTGAGTGTTGAATCTCTATTGATTTTCACTGGAAATTTATCAGCCTCTTGTCATCTGTTGCCTTAAAATCTCTCCAGTGATAATAAGTGGAAAGAGCAGAGTGCATAGTTTGCTGGATTGCTAGAAAATTTACTCCTGTAATTTACTCGCTACCTGCCCCAAAATTTGGATTATTCCAGAGCATCCTAGATGTAGTCAACCCACATTTCTTGTACAAATCCCATGGACTGTAATTGCTGGGCAGACAGGCAGGGGATGTGTCTGCTCCAACATGTGCATACCATGTGTGATCTGTATACCACTGTCTGTCTATGGGATGTGACATCCTTGATATTTCTTAGCTTCATTCACAGGCTGCCCACAAAGCAAGCCTTCAGATAAATGTAATTCTTAAGGATGACTCGTGCTGAAGTTGCACTTAGGGTTGAGCGAGAGTAGGGGAGGAGTTAAAAAAAGGTGTAGCTGGCCCGTTGCTCCATCACTTTGGGTACACATGGATGGGCCAGTCCTTCCCTATTCCTTTCCTCATCCCCTTTTTCATATAGTATACTTCTCTTTCCATTCCTTACTATGTGTGATGATGAAAAGACTGGAGATGTTTGTAGTGCACGCCAAACCTCTATAAAAGCATGAACAGCTTACATTTATATTCTGATGACAGTATTTTAAGCTGCTTTGTTTGAATTTCAGTGTTTACAGATTACATTGGCTATTGTATACTTCTGTAAATTTTAACAGGCCTAGTGTGTTAGTAGCTGTGCCAGAAGTGTACTTTTTAGCTTTTTATTATGATGGAAAATCAACGTTATCTGTGATTTATTATTTTTGCATCTTGCAGCAGTCAGATTAGGTCAGGAAACTAATTTATATACCTATTACAAAAATAGGTGCAGATTGGTTTTAATGTGCTGAACTTTTGTCAAATTCTTAAAATACATAATAGAGTTCCAAAAGGTGCTTCTTGAAATCTGTACTGAGTCCAGGATATGCAAAATAATTGAGGGCTGCAGCTTTTTAAAACATCTGAAAAGAAATCTCTCATTTATGTTCTGTTTCCCTTGACATCTCTGACAAAATTTAGTTTATTCGTAGATGAAACACAGGTACTTCAAGCTTCATGAAAGAGGAAAAAGATAGCACAACTAAATCTAATATTTATACTTTCTATGAAAAACACAGGCCTGGAAAAATGCAAATCATATTGAAAGACACTGTTAAAGAGAAGCAGTGTGAAAAGAGGTACCTCCTAAGAAACCCCAAGTGTGCTTTTATGTTATGTTCGGTAGCTTTCTACTGAATGCGAATCAAACATTGAAGTAGTGGTAAGTTCTCTCATTTAGGGAATCATTTACATGGCCATTTAGTTGTTCACAATTGCAGTGCAATAAATTTCAGGGGACTAATTCCTCTTAGAGAAGTTTCCAGATGCTCTGTACCACACAGAGCTGAACAGCATAACTTTGTATTTCAGGTGCCAATCACAACTCTTTTGCTTTTAGACAGGCCAGGATGTGCCCGATTTAGTATCACTGCATGTTCCCGCTTGGAGATCCCTTTGTGTTTCACCATGGGGCTGATCACTGCTCTACAAAGCTCTAGAATTCATGTCTCTGGCCCCGGCGCAAGCTCTGGCATACATCTGAGCAGTCTAGGAGCCAACAGTTCAGGGAGAGAGCTTAACCTATTATTATCTGTACCTGACTGCACCTCTGGCCCACAGCAAGTGAACAAACTAGAAAAAAAGACAGATTTGTTCTTCCAGAAGCTGCAAGGTCAATTTAGAATGGATCAAACAGAACAAAAAATAGGAGTGGGAGTGACAATGACAGTGTCCAAATGGCAGGATCTGGGAGTGATTTCAGCTCCTTGGTCTGGAAGCACCTCTCTGCTGCTTCTTGACTATGTGTTGTAGCAAGGTTCCTAATACAATAAGCTCTTTGCTCGCCCCATAATCTGTATGCATAGGGAGAAAAGACACATTGGGGACTGGAAAGCAGCTGCAGTACATCCTGGGGAGAGTCCCCCCACTCTAGATGATTAGAAAGTCAAGACTGAAGGGCATATCACATGGGCTTGCCTGTGACACTGCTTGGACAAAGTCAGTAATGGGGTCTTGTAGAAGGGTGGACTACTGCCATTTGTTAGCAACACTTGTGCCGGACTTAAATGTTAATAATTAGACAACCATCTTATAAAAATTCTGTCCTTGACATTGGCCATTTCCCATAGCAAACTCCTTTTGAAATTCCTCAGGTGTTGGTGACTGTGTAACTGGAAGATTATCATCTTTTCCCATGTATCTCCTTAAGAGTTTTTTTCCAAAAGGTCGATATATCCCATCTCTTTCTGAGGCATGTGTACTGAAAGAGCAGTTCTGCATCTGATTAAGGAGATTGTGGGGCACTCCCTCAGAGCCAGTCAGCTCTCTTGCTCTCTCCTCTTCCACACTTGCCTTCAAGCTTTATACTTTTTGCAATTGAATGCCCACTAACAGCTGGAATGAATTGACTCCCGGATTGTTGCCTCTTCAGGTTTTAATTTGGAGGTGTTAATATAGCAACAACAACATGAATTTGATAAAAAACTGAAGGAGGAAGTTCCAGGCTGAGTGCATGCTACAGAATTCATTTCTAAGAGTCTCGTTTCCTCTGGAGGCCTCCCAGGAGAAGAGGCAGCTGTTGGAGCACTTCACAGCTCACATGAAATCAAGTTCTGTATGCTTCCACAAATTTGATGATTGACAGATGCTTGTGAAAGGTGGAGAATGGCCCAGACAGCACATTTGAAAATATTTTCATCTCACTTCTTGTGCTGACAGAAAACAACATGCAAAGCCTGGTGCTACCAGTTGCCTGTAGGGGGTGGGAGAACAACATTTAAAATATGCAGTAGTGTTGTGGACTTCAGATGTAAAGGAGTTGTATGAATTTTACAACATAGGTAAATAATTATGTGGGTTGCAACACTATCCAGCAAGGTTGCTCTAGGTTGCTCTTTCTGTGTTAAATATACAGTAAATAGCAAACTGGAGCCTTGGTAATTGCTTCATAACCAAAGTCGGAGCTAGCATTGTGTTCTAAGTGTGACTTTGATCTCGTCGTTCTTTTTAATGTCCTTATTAGATATGCCTATAAATTTATCATTTAGCTTTCCTCTCCAGATAGCAATTTGTCTGTTCAAAATTTAAAGTTAAATGCGTAAGATGTCCAGGACATCAGCTGGAAAAATAGAAGATCTCTTCCCTTTCTTTAATAGCCTGTTCTGAAACATTATTACAGCAGCTGTGGTATGTTCTATGAATTCTGTGGATTTTTTCAATTATTCTCAAAGAAAGTGTGTATTTGAGGTTGATTTAATGATTTAATCATTTAAATCTTTACTTCAAAATTTGAGACTTTGTCAGGCCCTGTAGACTTGGGTTGACCGTTATGGTGTCAGAACTAGCCTGTTTCATTGAGAATAAGGAAGAAGATTCATGTTTGTTCAGACATGCGTATTTGTATCTGACACATAAATTCACATATGAAGAGGAGATTATAGGGACTAGAATTCAGAAGGGATGAAAATGGTTGGGGTACAGGATTGAGAAACACATGAGCTATTTATTCATCGGTGAGTTTCAAAATACAGCATAGTCAAGCATGAATTCTTACTATCTGGAGTAATTTTTAATAGTGCTAATTTTGATGCCATTCATTGTCCAAATATTGCCACAGTAGACGGAGAGAACATCATGAGCTACCTGAAAAGCCTGCTATGATGACAGTTCTACAAACAATAAGGCAAATTAATGCACAGGGAGTGTGAGCAGTAGGAGAAAGGAAATTTTCAGATTAGACAGAATATGTACTTACTTTTTTCAGAACTAATAAGTGAATGACTTATAATCATGTTTTTAATTTCTTCTTCCAGAACCTGGATGCTTTGCATGACCACCTTGCCACTATTTACCCGGGTATGCGAGCCCCTTCCTTTAGATGCACTGATGCGGAGAAGGGGAAGGGACTCATTCTGCATTACTATTCAGAAAGAGAAGGGCTCCAGGACATTGTCATTGGAATCATCAAAACAGTAGCTCAACAGATCCACGGTACAGAAATAGATATGAAGGTAATGTCTGAAGGGATGTACACATTGGAAGTTTATGCCATTAGGACAAAATCAAGAAAATCAAAAGTGAAGTGATGGCAAACAATCATTTGCTGTCCTCTATGAGGCAGTGGCATCAGTATTGACTCAGGAAGAGCCATCATCATTTGTGTTGTTTTAAGGACAGGTCAGACGTGCTGAGAAGGCCAGCACTAATTTGCAAACAGACCCAGTCGGGAACAGTTCAGAACAATATACCCCTTATTCAAAGAAGGAAATGACATGTACAGAAATTAGTTACTGGGTTATTTGGTGTGCTGTTTTCCACTTTATTTTATATTTGGCATATATTTCTTACTGTCTACTGTGTTCTGTGAGAACACGGACATTTTGTCTCTGTGTCCTAGATTCTTCATCTATGTGCAGACTGTGAGGCTGATGTGTGTTGATGAGGCCTGGCTGGCAAGCAGAGTGCTTTCCTCCCAGCCTGCATGCCAGGTCTGTCCCAGAATCAAGATGTGTTTGTAGGTCTCATACTACCATTGTGTGGGAGTGTGGCTGGATATACACCTACAGCCCCAGAGGTGGAAAAATGTTCCTCAGACACAGAGTTTACATAATGTCACGTGTGCAAAGTCACTTGTGAAATGGGAAAGAGGCTTCTGCTTTGTGTTCATACAGAGCAACAGAAAGATTTAATTGATCAGGCCTTGCATATGTAATGGTATAAAATCAGAGCTTGATCCAAGGTGCAGATATATCTGGGGAAGAACAGCAAATAAAAGATTTTTGGTGTTAGAAATATTGCAACTGATATAAAATACTTTTCATCAAGTAGAAAAGAACCTAAGCAGGTAGAGCAAGCATTCCTTTTTTTTTTCCCTCTTTTAACTATTTCCTAGTGTTATTACATTTCTAGCACAATTTCATTGTATTCTTGCTCAGAAAATCCGTTCTAGTTTCATGAGTGTATCACAAAAACATGGCCTTGCTCAGATAAGAGATTTACAAGGAACCCAATGACAAAAGTGTCAGACTATTTGCCTTTTAGGTCTCTTGTTATAAGCTAGCTCACGTTTATAGTGAATGGCTAGTTCTGTATAGTGATGGTGATACACTTGATGTCCTTGTTTATACTTTGTAGAAACCCATAGTACAAACTTTTACAGCAGGTGTTAGTAATCAGATAGGAAGGATGCAACAGAATCAAAACAATCTTCTTCTTAGGTCCCTGTTTATTCAAAGTGTTGAAACAGACAAGGAGGACCATGTTGGAAAGTTGGCTGCAAGAGTGCTGAAGCTGTTGCTTGACAGGCATTTCTTTTGGTAGCACAGGCAGCTTACACAGTCCCCCTTCTCTTACTGCTCAAGCTTGTCCTACGACAGCTTCTTCAGCTGTGTCTCTCCAGCTGTTGTGAAGCTATAAAATAAACTAGACTGAGGAAATGAACTGGGTTCAAAATAACAGGTTTTTCTTCTGGGTTATTTTTACACACATCTGTTCCTTTATGTGGTTTGGTGTTCTGTCTCTCAGAGAGAGTTCTGCCAGCATAGTTGAAGGGTCATGCAGAGGAAAAAGTGATCAGCGGGACAGAGGAGAAATCTGGGTTGTGCAAAGCAGCTACCAGAACAAACTTTTGGCAAACTATGTCCTCAATCTGAATGTTACTTTGCTGAGAAGATTGTACTAGACAGTACTGATATCCATCTAGGACTTCTTACAAATATTATATGTTCCGAAGAGTTTTAAATATTGGTTCTAAATTTACTTCTCATTTTCATTTGATGTTGTTAGGCTTTTCTGGAAATTTTTTTGTTGTACTGTAATTAAATAGAAATGTAATAGTATTGGTCAAACCTGTTGTAAGTGAGCACAAAGTTTAATTTAAATCCAAACTATTCTTCCAGACCGTCTGAGCCAAAAGCACATAGGTGCCTAAAAATTAGTATTACCTCTAAACTGAAGAAAGCGCATATTGTCTGTATTTTGTTTTGTCTGTTACCCTGTTTTTTCCCTTGTCCCTATTAGAAAGTCATATGCCCTCAACCCTGAACTTTTTCTTGTCTCTGCTGGTTAATAAAGCCTAGCTTTTGACACCTTCAATGACGTTAAATAGTGCTTTACTCCGCAGTTACTCACAAACTTCAGTGGTAGATAAGCAGAGAATAATCAGCTACTTGTTTCTGTAAGGTGAGAGTGACAAAATTTGCAGATTATCCACACAGACAATGAAAGTCTCCCTCCATTACTGCACAGGTCAACTATTCATCATTAATGGTACAGAGTGAGGGTTTTCAAGCAGAGTAAGTCTGCCACTGTGGTACCTGGCTAGTTTTACACTGTTCAAAAAATGAGAACAGGAGAAAAAAATTTACCAACTTCTTTCATCTCGATCCCTTGCCTCATAATTTAGTAAATCAATGCTTTCATGTTTCAGACTTAGTAATGCATTGTTTGAAATAGCACAGCACAGAAAGACAATGGAGTTGCTTTTCATCCCCTCAGTTTTTGTGGACCAATCAATGCCTCTTCTGTAAAATTTTTGGTTTGGACTTTAGCTAGAATTTTGCTTAAGGAAGAATTTTTTTTAACTGATAAGAGCCTCAGTGCCTAGCCCTAAGTTTCTCATGTTATTATGGGAGTTCCCTTCCAATTTGCAAGAACAGAGCTGATTCCCGAGTTGTCCTTCCAAATCTCTTTATCCAAAGCATTTAGATAACAATCCAACACACGACTGGTTTAGTAAGTTCTGCAGTTCTCTTTATATTAGTGTAAAGTTGATATCTGCAATTTGATGTTTAATACTTTATTATCAACTTTCCTTCTCCGGCTATTTAGAAGAAATGCTTACATAAATCTGTTTGAGAGAATGCATGCTTCTAAGTCTGTATTTTCATGAAATTTTGCTTGTATTTGTCTTACATATTACCAGTTTCTGTGAAGGTGGTAGCAGATCTTAATTGTTTACAATAATACTGTTTGTATTAAGTGGTTAGATTTTGTTTCGTGGTTGACACAGAATCACAGAATGGCAGAGGTTGGAAGGGACCTCTGGAGGTCATTTTGTCCAACCGCTGCTGCTCAAGCAGGGCCACCTAGAGCCAGTTGCTCTGGTCCACGTTCAGACAGCTTTCAGCTCTCTCTAAGGATGGAGACTCTGCAAACTCTTTGGACAATTGGTGCCAGTGCTCAGTCCCCCTCACAGTGGAAAAGCGTTTCCAGATGTTCAGACAGCATCTCCTGTGTTTCAGTTTGTGCCCATTGCCTCTGGTCCTGGCACCAGACACCACTGAAAAGAGCCTGGCTCCATCCTCTGTGCACCCTCCCTTCAGCTATTTGTACACATAGATAAGATCCTCCCGAGCCTTCTTTTCTCCAAGCCAGCTATCTCATCTCTTATGAGAGATGCTCCAGTGGCTTAATCATCTTAGTGGCCCCTCACTGGACTCTCTCCAGTTGCTCCATCTCTCTCTTGTATTGAGGAGCCCACAACTGGACACAGCACTCCAGGTGTGGCCTCTGCAGTGCTGAGTAGAGGGGAAGGATCACCTCCCTCAACCTGCAGAGAAAACCTGAGAAGTCTCATGATCACAAGAGGAAAAATAAATATTGAGAAAAACACATTGTTCATCTTTTGTCCCAAATTATTTCTTTGGGTGGAGAAATAGCTAAGTGGAAAAAAAAAAAGTGTTTAATTTTATCACCTTTCTGCAGTTTCACACAGAACTATTTTATATATACTTACATACACATATATATACACACACACACACACACACACATGTTCTTCTGAAATACAGTAGGGCTTTCTTTTTCCAGAATGGTGTCCTTCAGGAAATGTACCTTTTCTTTTAACACCTAGGATATGTGTATGCTGAAGGCAAGAAAAAAAATAAAAGGTCTCAGTTTGTCTCTGTTAAATACTGTTAGCACTGAAAGGAAGGCTTTTTTTTTTTTTTTAACTTGGATTCACAATTCCAGTTGGATAGTTCAGGAAAGCCTAAGTTGACATTAATTGATTAATTAGTTCCAATCCAATTTGCCTTATCTTTCCTGATATGGCAATCCATTTTTAGCTAAATAGAGCAAAGACTATATAATTTTTGCAGCAGGTATTGTCCCAAGAATTGTTGCTGACTTTGAGAACACATTAAGAATATTTAAGTTCTGCCAGTCTCAGTATGAGAACTGAAAATCGTCATGGTGCTGGTCACCAGCTTTGGCCTGGGATCTCTGTTAGCAGCCTTCTGGCTATGACTTCTCTTGCTTCACTTGTCAGAGGTTGTTTGTGTATAAATGAGGGTGACCTGTGAAGGTGAAGTCAGGACAGATTCCCTCAAGGCTACAAATGGTATGGCTCAACGAAGAATGTTGTGCAATCCTACAAAGCACAAAAATCTGTTAGGAAAACAGACTTACGCAGTTCTGTTATTATCTGAGAGCAGAATATCAAAATCTTTCTTTTCAATGGTTTACAATATCAAGTGAGAAAAGGCAAGGGGAAATCCTTGACAAGACAGTAATTTCTGACTGTCTCATTACTAATGGCAATATAAAAAAACAAAGCCAGAATGTAACCAGCTGGAGAGCTAACCTAAAAACCACTTAGGTAGTTGTTATGGAGGACAAGCAGTACTGATCCATACATTAAAATGCTAGCTGTGTATGAAGATAAGTCAATCGTGGAGCATAATCAGCCTCTAATTCTGATACAAGGACAGCAGGAAACTTCACTAGCTCCAGGCTCAGAGGTTCAGTGCAGGGAGAGTCTCTGCCTTGAAACCAGCTGCCAGGTGGAGACACCTCCACAGTTTTAAATTTGGGTGTGCAAAGCTAAGAGTGGTACCATTTTCACAGTGAACTGCTTTGCCTCAGGATTACCCTGAAACAGCTGCAGTGAAATTTGTCAAGAAGCATTGCATAGTTGGTTTTGATCAGAAGAGATCAAGAATTTCATCCTGTATTGACCTTTAAATGTCAAAAACCTGACTTTGTGTTAATCTTCACAATCTGATGGAAAAAGATCCCTGTCCAAGGGCATTCTGTGCCTCCCCCATGCTGAGATACGAGTGTGTCGTGGGGCCATGCTCATATGTATAGAATTGAGTCTTGTCTTGTAGATACATCAGTGAAAGTTTAACAGATAGATTCTATGTGTTCGTTATACATGCTGTATTGCAGTGATACTGCTTGATTTATTATCTTCTGTGAAGCTCACCAAATACATTAAACCACAAAGTCATTTTAGAATAACTATTCTCTGAATTGTCCTTCCCTGAAATATTGGTGTGACTTTTCACTTGGCTAAGCAAGGACAAACTCTGAAAATACATCTTCTGGAAAGCACAGGCGGGTTAGCAGTTAGATGTTATATATTCTCTTTGAAACCAAGAGAGTGATTTTTCCCTTCAGTTTTTAGCTGCAGTTACTATGGTGATTGAGCTCTTAGACGTGGTGAACTGATGTCACTTCACCAGCTAAGACCGCAGGGGGAGGAAGAATTAGACTTGATTCCTGGCTTTGTTGCTTCTGTCACTGAACTTTTATTTGTCAAGCATTTAACAGAGGCTTCTTCAACAATATTTAAATGATAGTGAAATTCTGTGGCTTGCAAACTTCGCTTGCAAAATGAAACAAGAGATAAGTTCTATTCTAGTTAAGCTTACTGAAGAGTATCTAGGGCAGGTCTTTATGCCAGGTAAGTATCTGGACAGTTAGATTGGATCTGGAGGTACAAGTGTGAAGGGACAGAATTTAACATCTTATGTTAATGGCCAGAAGTGCTCATTTTAAATTTGCTCACAAGGTGGATGAAATCATGAGATAGGAAGATTAGATAGTGCATAAATGATGTGAGCAGAAAAGACATCATGAAATTACATATCCAATGAGAAGTTATTTAAGGATGAATCAGTAGCTTTCTTAGCCTGGGGAGGGGTATGATTGTAGCTTCTGTTAATAAGGCTCTGTGCATGGATGACCAGAATCAAATTCAGTAAACCAGCCATGTCCACAGCATATCAGGCTTAAAAGGAGTGTGCAGCTGGCACTGTGGCTGTCTTGTAGATCTGACGCATTTCCATGTGTTTGGCCTGTTGTTCATTTGCTGCACTAATGTGAGGCACTGGTACAGCCAGCATTTCTAGATGCCCTCGAGTCTGGTCAAAAATAGTGTTGCAAATGAACTTGAAGATGCCTGGGAAATTTGCAGCTTTGCACTGTTACTGACACAGTTCTAATCTATAAAGGTTACCAAAATAGCACATCGTGTGTGATGACCGACTTCATCGCTGCGTAAGCTTGTAGGATCTGTGGAGGGTCGTGTCTTAGCTAGACATCTTGAAGCATGTAGCACTTCTGTTTTTATAGGTGGGGTTTTTTTTAACCAACACTTGAGGTTTTTTTATTGATTCATCATTCATTTCTAATAAATGGAAGAAAACAGGAGGTTAAGAAAAATCCATTAGGTGCTGCATGGTAGCAGGAAAAAACCTATAAGTTACAGGTGCAGGTTGATAACAGAATACTAGTGTGCAGTGTCTAAGATGGCCATTAGGTGATAATATCTCTGGAAAGTGAAGTGCTGTTAATATGAACATTTCCTTAAAAATTATTAGATCTTTAAAAATCAATTTTAGGACTGCTTTGCTGAATGAAGAAGCTTTTCATCCAAAGTACGCATTTTTTTTTCCAGTTGTGGCAAGAGCAACTCTTTGAAGTAAGATCCAAGACTGGAAATGACCTGGAAGCATAGATCATTTCTAGTGATAATTCTACACAATTTGAAAAAGGTTATTGTGTATAATCTCAGCTGTCCCTGGCCGCAAAAATAGTAAGAATAAAATAAAACCTGTGGGAGTGTGTATGAGTGATAGAAAGTAAGACCTAAGACACTAACTGCATTCTATCAATCCTCAGTATGGCCATAGTCTCTTACAATTTCAGAGATAATGATTTAAAAAAAGAGGAAGACATGGAGAACCTTTAAACCCTGAATTCAGAGGAAAACTAGCTCTCCATCTACTATGTTCCATTTTCCTAGACGAACTCACAGAAGTTGTTTTCCTCAAATGACCACCACATATTCTTTCTGAGGCTTACCTATTATTACCTTGTAATTTCCCACTTCTCTGCCACACGCTGCCATATGGATTACCAGCAGAGTTTCTTAAGGAAATTAGATTTTATCATCATTAACATTTGAACTTGTTCATACATCCAACTTTAAGTACCTGCATTAGCTGGTAAATTTAGTAGGCTGATCTTTCTCTCAGTTACTTATGTATGCAATAGAAAGAGAAGACTAATGCAGCACATCATAGTATAGAGCACCTAAATCAGGCTCCTGCTCTGAACTGTCCGCCAGAAAAGCCTCTCTTTCCTTTAAATGAATGGTCAAATAGGAGATCAAGGAACACTCCCTTCTTAAACTAAGCATCATTAAGCAATAAAATATTGTTCTGCTGTTTTACACTCTTCCATTTGTGTAGGTACAAATAAAGGAATCAGCACTCCCCAACCAGTCAAGTAGCATCGATGACAGTTGTAGAGAAGTATTTAGTAAACTAAACATCTTAGGGATCAAGTGCAGTGTTTGTGCATATCCATTCTGTTTTCATATTGTAACTGTTAATCTCTGTGGTTATACTATGTGTAAAGGGCAGAATCAGGGTGCATTAGAGATTTTAAGAAGTCTTTTTTTGCTTCAGTGGCTTTAGGATTAGACTTTACATGAAAGTAGAATCAGGTGCAGCATGTTCCAGAAAGTTGCTGCTAAACAATGCTGTGTAAATAGAATTGTTCTCTTCCAGTCATTAAATCTAATTAGGCTTGAGAAGAGATGAATTTGGCCTCTCAAGGTAAGTTATGTTATTCTATTAGTTATTAGCTTTAATTATACTGCAATACATGACTCTCACTGCAAACAAAATAATCCCTATTAATTTCATATTTTTTACTAACTTTGAGTAACTTTACTGAAGTTTGAAATGCTATATTCAAGACACTTATTTGAGACTTGACTGATGCAGATGACTCTGGTTTTGCTGTGATTTCATTTAATATGGAATGCAGCTTGGAGAAGATTGTCATTGCTTTTAGTCTTATCTGTTGGTCCTGATCTTGCAGTCATCACTGCTTGAATGTGTAAGGACTGTATATTCAAACATCTGCTCCATCTGCCTTTCTGGCTGACTGTGACATGCTCATCCTCTGGTCAGCACTGTTTGCTGTTGTGTTACAGACCTTGCAAAAAGCTTTCATCAAAATAAGGATTCAAGTGGGCTGTGTAATTCAAATTTGCCACATGTTCATTCAAGGGGAGGGGAGAGTCCTGTTTTCTGGCAAGTACCAGTAAAAGCAAGCATAACTTGAGCCTTGACCCCTGATTTCAGGATGTGCATTTCACTCAGACTTTATAAATTGTATTTGAGTGATCCTCAGTATGTTGTTCGTGCAAAGGGCAACTGTGGCTAAGCAAGGGCATAGTTATTCACCTGGAATTATAAAGACTCTAAAATCAGAAATACTTATTAGAATATAATATTTTTCAAGATACAAAAATCATTCTTGAATTCATCTTTCTGCTCTAAATGTACTTCTGTCTTCATAGTAGCATTCCAGTTATTAATGAGTAGCAAAGTTTTCAGTTTTTCATTTTTTCTTTCATTTTTCTAGGTTATTCAACAAAGAAATGAGGAATGTGACCACATTCAGTTTTTAATTGAAGAGAAAGAGTCTAAAGAAGAGGACTACTATGAAGACCTTGACAGATTTGAAGAAAATGGTACCCAAGAGTCTCGCATCAGTCCCTATACTTTCTGCAAGGCCTTTCCTTTCCACATAATATTTGACAGAGATCTGGTGGTCACGCAGTGTGGCAATGCTATCTACAGAGTCCTTCCACAGGTTAGATGATTCTCATGCATGAATAATCATAGAGATTCCTAATGCTAGATGCTTTACAGGTTTATTTGAAAAATAATACGATAGATTTAGGATTCTCTGTCTAAATGGCATTCCTTCCTCTTGTTTGAAAAAGGACTGTGAAAATAGCCCTAATTCTACAACAACTCTGTTCCTTATGATCATGTCCATGTGCAGTAAGAGAATAAGCTTGAGCAGAGAAAACCTCATCACCCCACAATTCAGGTGTTAGCTTGATACCCGATTCTTTCTTGTAGCTCACTCCAAGATACATTTGCTATTAAAATGGCAGATAACTCTTTAAAGTGGATGTGAGACAGTCAGTGCAACTTGGCCTGGAGTTCAGGAAATGGTCTTGCCCATACTACTGTATAGTGTAGCAGCAGGTATATAGTCTGTATATATGTTACTTGACAGTAATGCCTTCAAATACTTAAGCTGGGAGATGCACAATAACTGAAGAGCAGAATAACAGAAATTGTGGTATACTTTCTTGGCTTGTGCATCAAAAGCATCAGTATTAACTAAGATGAACCAAACTATGTTTGAGAGAGATATGTATGTGTGTTCTGAACTGAATGCAGCTGCTGCAATTTCCTCTGATTATTTACAGTAAAAGAGTACTCAGAGGTCCATTTAATCTTACGTATTCTGTATATGAATAGGATACCTCAGTTCTTGCCTGAAAGAGCTGACACTGTTTCTAAAAATAAGCAACAGGTAAAAGCAGTAATATGAGAGAAGCAAAAGGTAAGATGATGGAATCATCAAATGATCTTTGCAGTTATGTAGGCTAATGTTGCACATACCATGTTGTTTCTGAATCATTGGCATACTTTTAAAATGCAATTTTATGTTATTTGCTTTCTCCTGCAATTTGTTTTTGGTGATTTCTCTCTGAATTTTGCAGAAAGATATGAAAGAAGAGCTATGTAAGTAGCTCTGCCAGATTTTTCCCAAGGACATTCACTGAACAGCTATAACTAACTATTCAGCCTACTGAGGATGGCTATCAGAATCCTGTTAGAGCTGATACTTTAGAGAACATAGCTTATTGAAAAGGCAGTTTGAAGGAGGTCACTTAGGAGGAAAACATTGGAAAGCTTTTTTTACTGTAGAGTGGGAACAGTTTGACAGATAACGAATGTGATAGTCTAACACAATTTTACAAAGTCATCTGGCAGACTAGAATTGCACTTTGAAGTGAATATACTTCTGATGTAAAATCCTTAATTTAAAAACCCTGTGTTTTAGTGGAGAAATGCATGAAGTATATATTCTCTTCCATTCAGTATTGTTATCTAAGCAAATCGAATAGAATTAGTCCATGTATATTTTTATTATAAAACATAACAATCTTTTTTTTTTTATTTTTTTATTCTAGCTGCAGCCAGGAAATTGCAGTCTGTTGTCAGTTTTCTCCTTGGTCCGACCTCATATTGATATTAGTTTCCATGGGATCCTCTCACATATCAATACAGTCTTTGTACTGAGGACCAAGGTAACTACAGAATATTCACCTGGCTTTTCTTTAAGTAAGTATGCTTTGGAGAGACAAGAAGAAGTGCTGAAAGCTCCGAAGTCTTCAGAGAAAATTCTTTGCACAGGAGTATGTTCAGTCCCTTTTGAGTCTTGAGCCAAGAAAAAGTCACAGGTGTGAATTCATGTGTAGCTGTTAAGCAGAACGCTTTATAGGAATGGTGAAGTACATATACTGTCTGATGCTTTCTTTGCAAGGGGCCAACCCATTATATGGCATTGTACCAAAGTAAATGTAGAGAGGCAATTACATTTACTTTTGCTTCATAAGAATATGGGAGACAAATATGAAATGTGTTCTTGCTTGGGCCCATACGTTCATACAGTTCTGTGTCTTTTTCTCTAGAGAGAGCAGGAGAGGAGGTGGGTGATATGAATGAAGGCAGCATGTAGAGTATCATCTACTATGTCAAGGAGTCTGTTTATTTATAGAAAACTGTACCTGAGAGAAACCAACAAGATTTCTTGGAGATGCTCCCAGGCACAGATAGAACTTCATAGAATAGGCAATACTTTTGTCAAACTATTGTTAAGAAATAACGCAGAAGAAAACAAGAAGTTATGAACATGAACATAAAGAAAGATACCATACTTTATATCTTTGAGGCAGCAAATCACAAATTTAAAATAGGGATAGTGTATGGTGTTCAAATAAGAAATTAATTGGGTTTTAAAGTTTGCTGTAACTCTGTTCCAAACATTCTGACTGCCTTCACAGTGAAGGCACTTACATATGTGGCCTGGTGCATAACACGTACCATTGCCCTTATGTAATTGTGACTTTTCATGACCAGGAGGGGCTGTTGGATGTGGAAAAGCTGGAGTGTGAAGATGAACTGACTGGCACAGAAATCAGCTGCTTACGCCTGAAAGGGCAAATGATCTACTTGCCTGAAGCAGACAGTATTCTCTTTCTTTGTTCACCAAGGTACTTTAAACCTTAAGAGTTCTATAATATTGATTTTCGTTTTACAATTACTAATTTTAAGAACACTACAGAGATTAATTGGTTAAATATTAATTTCATTGATTTTTATGTGTTTATACTAAAAGAGGGAGGAGCATTTAAACATCAGAACTTGACTGATTATTAGATAATTCAATATAAACATTGGGATGCTCTGGCCCAGTTTTTACAAATGGGAATTCCTCATGATTCCATGATTTTTGGCAAGTTTTGTCCTTTGTATCTTACTCTGAGAGTGCTAAGAAATGTCACAATGATTTGGTTTCCTATGTGGATTCATATATTTTTGCAGTAGTTTTAAGGTAATAGAGCAGCGATGATTATAAAGAAGTGGTTGGAATGGGGGATTGAATGGAGAGCTTCTTTAGCTAAGAGCATGTTGAGCGAACACATCAGATTACAGTTATGATACGTTAATCTCATGTAAAAGGAAGAGAGTGGATGAAGACACAAAGGGAAGAGGCTACGACAGCATAATCTCGCTTTTATTTGTGCACTGAAGTATGTCCATTTGATATGTTCATGGACTTCGTCAATGAGAATTCTGTATTTAAATGCAAAAATCAAGACCCCTGTGTTAACATGAATGAACACAAATAAGGTATTTCGTAGAAGGGGTATGTTGTACAGGTCATCACACATTCAGAAGCATAATTTTTCTTCTGCATTCAGCAGCCTCTGCTATTTATTTGAGTTTTAAATGCTCCTTTGGCAAGTTTAATCATACCCATATTATTATATATTTCTCCACATTGCAGTGTGATGAACTTAGATGATTTAACCAGAAGAGGTTTATATCTGAGTGATATTCCATTGCATGATGCTACCCGTGATCTGGTTCTTTTGGGAGAGCAGTTCAGAGAGGAATATAAACTGACTCAAGAGCTTGAGATCCTCACTGACAGACTGCAGCACACACTGCGTGCACTGGAAGATGAAAAGAAGAAGACAGACACGTAAGAACCAAATCCTGATTTTGAGCTGAAACAGTCACAGCAATATATTATTTATAGCTATCTTCTTCAAAAAATAACAGAATCTTGGAAGGAATATAAGAGATATTCAGGGCTGATAATTTTAGAGGCAAGAAGGAACATTTTACTTTAATGCCTCACAAGGTATTTCTTTATTTAGATTGTCAAATGTCATCTGCAGTCTAGGCTGTTACATGCACAGGTGTTTTGATGGCTCCGTTCCTGATAAGGGAAGTTATGAGAAGTGAACTGACAATCCTTTTTGCTTTGTGAATTACCTAAAACAGTAGTTTTGCAAACTTTCTTATATGCAGTCCCTGTAGCCAAGATGAATTTGATGAATGCCCAAATGCTACTGTTTGACAGAGTTCTGTAAACCAGGTGTAGACCGCTTTGTCTTTCTGGACTGCTGTGCTCACAGGTTAATAGAACAGAAAAACATACCTTATAAGCCTTGAAAACAGTCTATGTAAAGGTAAAGTTTTGCAATAGGCTAATGCTATGAATTTGATTTTATAGTTGCCTGTAGAAATGGATTTGGATTTCTACATGTAACTATAAAATCAAATTCATAGCATTAGTCTATGGCAGCTCAGCTCAAGGACTACTGGCAGGTAAATTAAACAAAAGTTTATGTGACAAGCATTGTGGGACTGATGATTGACTCTTCATTTATAAAACATAGTTCTCATCTCTGTATTAGAAGAATGTCTCGTGGATTATACTTGTTTAGTAGTAGCATTAACATTTGTTGAGCTATGAATTCTATTGGCAGATATTTTTTTCTGTAGCAGAGTAATAGAAATTATTGTAAAAAGACTTGAAAGGGATGGATGGAAGAGTCAGAGAGAAAAGAAGCCTAAAAAATACTTTTTCTGTTCATTCCTGTTGACTTGCTTTATAAAGTCATTTTATCTTGAGGAATTCTAGCCTTCTTGGCAGCGACTGGAACAGACAGTGGCAGTTACTATATTATGTGCCAAAAGTATTCACTAATTATAACTTATGCAGTAGTGAACTTGCCAAAACTGCAGCTAATGAGGGTTTGTGCAGGAGGCTGTGAGCAAAATGATGCTCAAGATTTGTGAAACAGTCAGAGATCTTCAGCTTGCCCACTAGCTGTGTAAGGAGGGAAATATACCTTAAGATGGCAGTTAGAAAGTTGAAGGAATACACATGAGAGTAGGGTGAAGGTCTGTGTGTGATTTGGATTTTATTTGCCTAATATGTAGTATGAACAAGCATTAATATGTCATATGGACTATTAATTAAAAAAAAAAACCATGCAATAAACCCTAAAAGCAGCATTCTCAGCAGAAGAGGAAGCATTTAGCAATGCATGAATTGATCAAAGGTGGAAAACTGTTTGATCTCTTCATGGCCTGTTTTGCAGTTTTTATGGTTCTGTGAGCAAAATCAGATTATATGAGCTGAGGATATGGCAGAAATGCTTAAGCAATAAGCAAAAATGATCCAAGACACTATTAACAGATCATGTTAGAAGAATTAGTAATATATGCCTCATTTTGTTGGTAGTTTAGATGTATTGATGTGTATTTGAAGTGTCATGGCTTTAGGTATGTTGATGTAGATCAGTTCCTGTTTCCCAAATAACATATTCTTCAGTAAACATCTTTTATATTGCTCTTTGATGATGCGAGTATGTTATAAACCCTATGGGAGGTACTAAGTTAATATTTGAAGAGTGCTGATGTAAAGACCTTTCTCCATATGCTTTCTGTTTTGCTTATGCCTTTCTTTTCTTACACGTTTAGATTACTGTACTCTGTTCTACCACCATCAGTGGCAAATGAGCTGAGACACAAGCGTCCTGTTCCAGCTAAGCGGTACGACAATGTGACCATTCTTTTCAGTGGCATTGTTGGATTCAATACCTTCTGTAGTAAACATGCCTCTGGAGAGGGAGCCATGAAGATTGTTAATCTTTTAAATGATCTTTACACGAGATTTGATATTCTGACTGATTCACGAAGGAATCCATTTGTTTATAAGGTAAGCAGGTTTTCAAAGTATTTAATCTATGACTTTTCAATAATGTCACTCTTTTCCATCCTTTGGATTTTAGGCTTTTTTAAAAAAATAGTTACGTTCTCAGTCTTTGAGCTGTGTTACCTGATACTGCATAACTAAAGAAGAGTATGTCGTTTATCTCTAAATGTGTGAAGGAACATAAAGGGCTTAGTTCTCAGCAGGATTTCTGCACAGTCACCCATTAGGTGGATATGTAAATCTACTTCCACGTTTAGCAGATATGAACACTTACACAAGGAGTTTGTGGTTTTGCTGACCCTGTGCTTTAAGTTTTTCAGTCATATACCTGGGTCTCCTGGTTGTAAAGTATAACTTATTATTCAGTTATTCAATGTGAATTTCATTCCTTCATTAGGAATGAGGTGTAGTTGCAGATGTGGCTAGTAGCAGGTAGATAGGTAGAGAGAGAGAGAGATCTGTATCTCCCATATATATGTACATGTGTATGCTTGTGTGTTTATATGTATAATATTCATTCCTAGCTTTTACTAGAAATCAATTTTATGCCCTGTACCAAGTGAATCAAGGGTGTGAGTCAAAATAAACATAGTGCTCAGTTTCTACAGGAATTCAGAAGACCTCAAAAGAGAGGCTCAAGTTCACACAATCACAGTGTTATTTTAATTTGTTACATTGTGGGCATACAATAATTTCTTTTCAATAACAAGCAGAGATGACAGGAATTAGGGTGATTTGAATGAAAGTGAAGGGAAACTGTTTGAAAGGACAAGCAGTCTTGAAGGAAGCACTACGTCCATTCTAGTCCTCTAAAGCCCATGATAATAAAGTAATTGAAAAATACATATCTTGATAGGTGGAAACAGTTGGGGACAAGTATATGACAGTGAGTGGTCTACCAGAGCCTTGCATTCATCATGCACGATCTATCTGCCACCTGGCATTGGATATGATGGAAATAGCAGGCCAAGTTCAAGTAGATGGTGAGCCTGTACAGGTTAGTAAATGTGTGGGCTTGAATGAAGAGCCCATTCTTTGATATGATGATAATGCTTTGAAATATGATAATGCTCAAGTCCCAGCCCATGCAAGCTTTGTTATTGTTAGATTTTGAGACTGATATCTACAAATAATATGAAGAGTCGCATGTAGATGTGACATGTGCAGTTCCCAGACCTTAAAATCCAATTATTGTCCTTAACCTTTTAAAGGACTAAAATAGGTCCGCATCATTTATGTCTGTTTTCCGATCATTTCAATCTAATCATCAAATGCCCATTGTGCATCAAGTACATTTTGTTGGGTCTTCTTCGTCTCAATGAACAGAATAATAATATTCCCTCACTGATATTTTTGATCATGCTTCAGATCCTCACGTCAGCATGAGAAAATACTGCATTAAAAAGAAAAGTACAGTTCCATAGGCAGTTATGGCAATGATTACTGGCAACAATGTATATTAGTGGAAGGTCACTTATTGTGGAATTTTATGAAGATGTTGTGGCGTTAATACAGAACTGGGGAGGCTGCATTGACCTATTCTCATCAGAAGGCTGTGAGAGCAAAATAAATAATGACTGTGATGTGTATTTCTATTTACATTAATGTTACGGGTCTAACACCTGGCATAGATCTGCGTACTTCACTTTGTCACTGGGCAAAGAAGTGAGAAGGTTTGATCTGGGGCTGTAAAATAACTGTAATGTGCTATAAGAATGAGCTTCTCCAAACCCCTGTCCTATCTCTTGAGCTTTTAAATGCAAAATACCATGATGTTTCCTCTGAGAAACATCTTTTTTTCTTGACCTACATCATGCATTTCTGCATCTTCTGGGCACTCATTAAACACAGACCTGCAGAGTATGCCTCTCTTTCCACTTTTTTAATTTCACAGTATATGAGAGCAGAATGGCATGGTGCATGCTGGAAAAATACGGAGTTTGTTCTTTCATGTGGGAGGCAGAGACATGACACTGCACTACAATAAAAAAAAGTGACACAAAACACAAAATGCAAGGCTTTGAAGAAGCAGGAGTGGCACATTGAAAAAATAAACTCTAGTAGATAGAAATGGCATAATGCCTGTATTTAGTCAAAAACATCAGATTAGTTATGTTGATTTTGAATATTCAAACTTTATTTTTTCTCCCTAAAGATAACAATAGGAATCCATACTGGTGAGGTAGTCACAGGTGTCATAGGCCAAAGGATGCCACGTTACTGTCTCTTTGGAAATACCGTCAATCTAACAAGCAGAACAGAAACTACTGGAGAAAAGGGAAAGATCAATGTCTCTGAATATACTTACAGGTAAGTGATGCGGTGTTTTTATTGGTGTTGACATCTTAAAAGAAATCACTTTGTCAGCATAACATCAAAGTGTCTTTGGAGTTGAAAGTGACAGGACTCCTGTAACACATTATTTAAGTACATGAGTTCTCACGCAACCGTATGGCAGACTGCATTATGATATACTGTTACTGGTATGCAAATACAGTAATGATCTAGAGATAGATTTGACTCATTTGTTAATTTGCTCTCATGTCTGTAGCATGTTTAATATTTTATATAGTGTGTGGTGTGTATGCATAATACATACATTTACATGTTTTCTCTTTCAATTTCAGGTGTCTTATGACACCAGAAAATTCAGATCCTCAGTTCCACCTGGAGTACAGGGGTCCAGTTTCTATGAAGGGTAAAAAAGAACCAATGCAGGTTTGGTTTTTGTCCAGAAAGAGTACAGAGACAGAGGTATGACTAACCGATGTGTAATTTTTTTTTTTTAAACAAGGCATAAACATGACAAATTTAATCTAAACCTCTGAGATCCATTTGCATTTTCAAAACTAAATGTTCCCTAGAAAAAATGAAGAGTTTTGTACAACACTATTTCATTAATGCATTCACTATCTTGACAGCACATTAAAGTCGTTGGTTATTTGTCTTTGCAGTTTGTGCAGTCCCTGAAAGAATACTTTTGTATTTTAAAAAGTCCGTGAGAGAATGCCAAGTTTTTAAATATTTATATTTCCCTCTTCTTACGAATTTCTCCACTGTACTAGATTTTGCAATATAATGTCCATTTCTGTTTAGCTGACATGTCTGGTTATCAGCACTTCAAAATTCACCATTTGCTTTCTTACAGTGAGTGAATAAATGTGCCTTCAAATATTTAGGCAACAGTCCAGCAACTACCTGGAGGCAGGTTCACACCTGATGTATATGGTGGTCTGTTAACCCCAGGTGGATCTCCTTGTTCAGACACTGTTGCATGATAGAGGTCTTGCTTTAGAAATATACGGGGTGAAAACTATTTCTTCTAAATGACATATGAGCCTAAATCCTCTTCTCAAAATGATGTAGGGTAAAGCTCTTCAAGCACTGAGTGGTCTTTAAGCTTATGCCTCAGAAGTCTGGGCACATATTAACCAAAGTCTCATTAAAAGCCAATGAGATCTAGAGTCATAAGTGTGCTACAAGCTTAGACACTTAATCAGGTGACAGTATGCCAGCTGATTTGCTGTACCTGAGCAGGTGTGTACATTCCACCATTGCCAGCAGGGAGAAAGAAAGGGTAAAAGTTATTTACATAGCTTGATTTTTGTCCTGAAGTAATGCAAAAAGACGGAGTTTTAAGCTAATGTGTTTGATGTTAAAAATACACTTGACTAAAATAATGGAAGTCATCAGTTAGCTGAAATAATTCCTGTAAGTCACAGTAAATTCATTATGCGTCTGAATACTCACGTGCTTCTGAAAATGAAATTTAGGCTGTTAAACTGTTTGGGCTCTTTAGGAGATCTAATCCAGATTTATTACCACTGGTACCCAAGTATATGAATACTGACTTTTTAATGTTAACTTCCAGTATTAACTCTCAGTATTAAACTTTAGGAGAGAGCGGTACTTTAACTCTGCTGAAGTCTGTATTTTAATATATATTACTTGCAATAATATTCTGGGTGCCACTTTTGATAATACTTTTCTGTTTTTATTCTATATCAAGATTAACTATAATTTCACATGACTACCATTCTTTCAAATCTATAGTTGTATTTAAAATGCATTTTAATTAAACACCTTTCACTTTTTTCTGCATCATAAATTATGTCCTATCATTTGTAGCAGGGCACATAATAATTTTAAATGTAAAATTTCAGAGAGGTACTGAGTCAGGTGGGTATTTTCCTTGTTTCAGCCTCACATGTGTTGAATGTGAATATAGGGTTCATATAATTTAGAATTTTAAATATTGCAGTTTCCTTTTAGAGATCTTGTGCAACAGTTGGTTTTGTTAATCCTCACAGCAGTCCTGAGAGGTACTTGCTGATACTATTATCTAGTAATCAAGCTTTGTAGAGGGATACATGGGGCAGGAATCAACCTGACAGAAAAACACTGTCAGCCTGATTTTCAGGAGCACTTAAGACTCACAGTTTAAGCACACTCAAAAAGTCTCTCTAATTTTTGTCAGTTCTTGTTAATTCTGAAAATTCAGATATACATGTAATTCTTAAAGATAGAAGGACTTCTCCCATCACAGGTGTCTCTTCTAAACTGTAGTAAGTTTGGGAGAACAGGAGATTAGAAAGATACATTCACGTGGTGATTGGAACTGGTAATCATTTTGTCAGAGGTGATTTTGAAAAGTGAAAGAATATAATCCTCTGATCTTTTCATTCTTTCTCACTCCCTGCACAATTTCATCTGTCCATAAACAAAAAGATGCACTGAGTTTTACTCCTTTAAGATTTTCTGAACTGTTTGCAGTTTCTGTTTTTTTTGTGAAGGTACTCTTCATGTTATTTCTGGCACTTTATAGGCTGTACAGAATAGTTGTAATCCAAAAGCGGAAATTGGATAACCATTTTTTATGTTTGATTACCTTAGAGTAATGGCTTTGCTTTAGGCAAGGGTGTAGTTTTGGTTTTCTTTTCAGAATCTCTTTCTCTCTAACCTTTCAAACACATACACGTGCTAATGTATTATCATGTGCAGTGCTGTTTCAGGGGGACTGTTCATAACAATAAATACAGCATGTTAACATATATTCAGAAACTATATGGTAAATTTCCTGAAAGGTCACTCCAGAATATTGCAAGAAGTGGCTTATAGAAGTAAACATGAAAATATTTCTTAAGTCGTCCTGAAGATATTTCTGCTGATCATTCTTTTACTGTAAAGTTTTCTACCTCCAATATCTTTAAATCTAGGATAAATTCACAGTAGTGATATATTCTCCTTTTCATTATATCCCTTAGAAAGTGATTAGCTCAGCATTTGCAAATCTATCAGCATAATATTTTACCCTGAAGCCCAGTAATTTATATATGGTGAAGAAAGAGGACGAAATACTTAGAGCTGGCATAGAGATGTGAAACCAAGGCTTAAAATAAGCTGTCCCTCTGCCAGACCTGTAGAAAATGATAGGGTTGGAGCAGCTCAGCATACCTCAGACTTGGTTCCTAAGTTGGCATCTCTAATATCAGTTGCCAAGAGCAGTTGTTACTTCTGAGAAAAACTTGATTTACAAGAATCGGTGTTGGTCTGGAGTGCTGCTCCTTTACTTTTTTCCACTTCAGATCTCTCTTCCATGATACCATTACAGCAAAAACCAGAATTGCATCAGAAATATGCATAGAACAAAAGCAGCTATGACCAATTACTCATTTTGCATCCGCTTGTTTGCATGTTATAAGATTAGTTATTACCATCATTATTATTTTAACAGAGGTTCAGCTGCAGCTTCTGTCTTGAGAAACAGATTTGTTGTAAAAAGTAAAGCTTGCAGAGCGCCTCAGGTGTCTGACTGCAATTTCCGCCGTTCCCCACTTTCAAATATCTTTCTCTTCTGCCCTGTCCCCACATTACTGATGGGAACAAGTTAAAGTATCTCAATCAGAACTGGTAGTTCATCAGGGAATGTAGGAATTGTTACGTTCCCACATACAACACATACAAAAGAAATACGTGCATTACCTATGCTGTTTTATTATTTTTATTATTTACTGATATTGGTTGCAAGTTGTAAAATGTGTTTTGTCACTGCATTGACCCACCATGTTGTTGCTTCAAAGAAAATCCCTTACGTCTCAAATTCTACTTGCATGCACTCAAGGAAACAAAGCCAGATGCTTTCTGAGCTGAGCGAAGAGGAAGAGGACGCTGGATAGGGTGCAATACTGACTCCAAATAGGGTGCCAGGCAGTAAGGTTGAGTTATGGATGTTATTTCACGTCCTATCTCCCATTCCCATGTGCCGTACCATTGTCTTTTGCCCTGCTCCTGAAATCATACTCACCATTTTTCTCCAGGCTCGCTTGCTATTTTTTTTTCTTAAGGTTTGGTATTGTTATCTCTCTGCTATGAGCATGTATTTCAAGCTTTCCTTTTTTTGATATGCATTTTTGCACGTCAGTCATGTGGCCCTTCCTACCACCAAGATAATATTGAATAAAATTTTGTAGCATGCACGCCACAACTAACCACTTCAATTGATGCTTCACATCTTCATCTTCATCTCTGAAGTATAGTGGTTACGTGAATCTCTGACATTTCTGGAAAGATAGGTATTTCAGCTGTTGGGCAGAACAGTGAACCAAAAGAACTATTTTTAAAAATAATACCTAAAGAAGCATTATGAAAATTATTGTATAAATGTTGTTTATCAGATTTAGTTCTGCTATTACCATGCTTCCCATCCATTTTGTGAATAACACTTGATGCACTGTAAATTCCTGGTTAGAAAAAGGTTCCTCTTTTGAGATCATCCTGCATTTTCCCTTTGTAGACACTATGTAAACGTTTTCTGTATTGAAAGGGGGCAGTTGTTTGTCTGATACTGCCATTTGGAGCATGTGCCAATGTACTTCTACTGAAATGCTGTTCACTTGCAATGTATTTCTCATTGATTTATATTAACTAAATTAAGTTGTCATGTTAATAATAGATTGCTGGACAATTTCAGACCACTTGTAGTGCTTTGATTCTTTTCCGACGGAGCCCCCAGAATTGAGAGGCATGCTGCCGGGACATGGTTGTCATGGTTGCCTTTTGGTTTGGTCTCTCTAATTTTCAGAAATGATCTTATTTTATTCCTTGGGAGGACCTGATAATATTCTAGGCATCATGACATAATTAAGGGATGTAAAGCTTGTAAGGGGGCATAGTGTCTTTTATCAGCTGATACAATTAGTAAAAGTGGACAAAGTTTCAGATGCGTAGACCTTCCATAACTTCAACACACAGCACATTTTTATGTGAATAATATCCATTCTTATCTGACTGATAATTTCTGAATATTTGCATTATAAAATAGGGTAGTGCAATTTGTGTATAAAAATTGTCTATATCTAGTATACCTTATCAGCACAGAATATGTATGTATAAATGTTTCATGTTAACGTGCAAAAGAAATTGCAATAAATTATTTTTTCCACTGAGAAATTTTGGGATTTTCTTTTTAGTGAAAGCTGTATTTTATTGTTTGATACAAAACAAGTATGTTCTCCATTCCATAATTTGAAGTCCAAGTTTAAATAATTTATCAAGTTGTTGTTCCCCTGTTTGCAAATGTCCAGGAGTCTGCCACATTCAGGTTAATGGATCACATCCTCAGATTAAAGTAGTGTTCAAAATGTGTAGATAAATGCTCCAAAAATAGTAGACGAGGTCACAAAAATGCATACATTCCTTTGAAACTCTTGGACAATATTTAACAATCAAAACCTATTAGCCGTCCACTTTGAGCAGGATGGACATCACCAACCAAAGCTTTAGGAATGGGAAATGAAGAGAGGAATACACATAGATTCCCTTTCATCATCTCACTGTTGGACAGCAATGCATCCCAGCACTCCGTGAGAGACTACCCTCGCTCTAATAGATACGCAGCAGCAACAGTTGATCAAGCTTACCAAAACTTTAATGGTGACTCCTAAAGACATGGGATTTGTGACGGCTGTGGTTGTGCATTGACATAATTCATGCAAATGGATGTAAAGTAACTGATGTTTCTGTATTACACTTCAAGCTGATGGAAGATGGCATGTCAGAAATCTCAGATAATCCTTGGAGTTTATATTTTACCTTCTTAATAATTTCAAAGTATTAAAGCTCCTATTAAGCTACTCTGTAACATAACCGATTTCTTAAAGCACTAGAATAATAGCTTATATATTGTGTTCATACAAGAGCTTTTATCTCAAAGAAACCAGTACGATTTAAGCACTTAACCACTTTTATTACTAAAACTGGTCTTCACTTAAATGCCACATTCAGCTACTAAATTCACACTTTGGTTAAATATTACTCTCAGATAACAGTTAAAAACTTCTGCAGGTATTTAGTTCTTTTATGTGTGCTCTGTTGCCTCTTTTATTTAACTACAGTCTTTTACTTTTTCAATAGAAGCTCTCTAGCTGAAACCGAGGTCTCTTTCAAAGGCGTTTACAAATGCATCTGTTTTATTTTAGTATTTTTTGTAAAAAAGTTTAAACAGAAGAAAGGGGAAAGCAGCAATGAAATTGCAAATTATGGGATGCTTAGCTGTTTGTAACCTTTTGGATCGTATGCTTTCCTTTGAATTCAGATACGCAAAAGAATTTGGGTTTCTGTGGTGTTATTAACTAAGGCTGTGGCCGTGCAGGGGACTCTGCTACTCTACGGCTATCTTAAAGTTGGTACTGCAGTTGGCTTCCATAATGCAAGGCTGCATTGTTGGATAATATACTCCCTTGTTTTCCTAATACAGGGCTTGAAAAACAGCAGAAGGACTCTCACTGGTTTCACTAAATTTTGAAGCAAGCTTATTAAGCACATACTGTCAATCTTTCGAAGTTACATTATAAAGACTTCCACAACCAATGAGGCTATTTGATAATATGGCCCATATTTTTAGATGCTGATCTTTTCATTGACCTTCCCCATGTGGAATTCTATCAAAACTTAATTTTTTTAAATTTATATGGGTAGGCAAATATGTGTGTTTACTTTTTTAGCAAAAGTATTATCAATTCTAGCATAGTAAGAAGGATGTATTATGACTATATTTACTTTTTAATCACCAATACACTTCTTACAGGCTCTGTTGGGATGTTACAAGTTATGAGCCTTCTGCAGTCAATTTTTGTTTATGTTTGTATGCCATAAGGTAAAAACTGTAAATCCAGTCCTCAGCGGGAACAAACTGGGAACATAATTTCATGTTTGATAATTTTTGGGGAAAAAACAGAATGATAAACAATGAATGAGACACTCATTTGGATATGTATTTATAGTATTATCACAACCGTTATTCTTGCATTTTTCACTTACAAAAAGAAATTAAAATGTTGTACTGCTGTGGTTAGGGAACTAGAAAGGCTTTATAAATAAGAATAGACTCATAGAATCATAGAATCATAGAATGCTTTGGGATGGAAGGGACTTTTAAAAGTCATCTAGTCCATCCCCCCTGCAAATTGGCAGGGACATCTACAACCAAATGAGGTTGCTCAGAGCCCCATCCAGCCTGGCCTTGAATGTTTCCAAGGATGGGGCATCTACCGCCTCTCTGGGCAACCCGTTCCAGTGTTTCACCACCCTCATTGTAAAAAATTTCTTCCTTATATCCAGTCTGAATGTACCCTCTTCTAGTTTAAAACCATTACTCCTTGTCTTATCGCTACTGGCCCTACTAAAAAGTCTCTCCCCAGTAGCTTGAAAACTATCTTGAAATGTCACTAAGTGGGAAGGTCACGGGTGGAATAGTGCTGCTTTTAACTCCATATACGTTTCTGAAAAGTTACACATGGGACAGACCAAACAATAAGCTACACAAGCAGAACTCCGTTTTCTTTTAGGAGAGTGTGGGCTTGCAAACTTTGCCATTCTGGCAAACACATCTACGGATGTCATAATTGGGATGTAGCTGGAAAGTGCGAACAAGTCAGCAGCTAGAGCAGAAGACTGAATGTCAGGGCTCCAGCTCTGATCTCTGTGGTTGATATCACAAGCTATTGCACAGCTCGTAGTTCAATTCTTTTCCCTTCTGTATGCAGCACCAGCTTATCTGTAATGATCTTACAGGTATAGTGTCTCTCCCTTGCCCCCAAATTTGATGATGTAAGAGAGAGATGCATTATTCATGAAAGTAGTGGCCTTATCCTTATTGCTGTGATTTCTCTTGGGACTATCCACTAAGTCCAGCTGAATGCACACTTAAATTCTGCAGGATCTGGGGACTTTTTGTTTACCTTCACTACAGGTTTGTAGGAACAGGAGACGGCAGTATGTGTCTTAGACCTAGGTACAGTAATAAAAACTGTTGCCCAGAAGACTGTTAATTCACCCTGCTGCTATTGGGCTATATTTTGTTTGGTTGGTTGTTTTTTTTGTTTGTTTGTTTGTTTGTTTTTAGAGGAACTGCATGTTTTTAGGCATCATTGGCAGCAACGGTTTATTAGCACCCAGAAAAGTTAATTTAGCTCTTATATACATATATATAATATATATATTACAATGTTCAATGTAAGCGGTAGTACAAAACGTATCTGACCAGTTACAACCTCACACTTGAAAGACAATCATATGCACAAGAAGGAAAAAGGAAGGGATATGCTAGCATCTGATATGAATAAGAGCTGGGTGGAGCTTGAGGCCCCAGAACCTTTTATTTGAGCAAAACTCCAGCAAAATCTAAAGCTAATAAACATTTGAGTGTGCTGCAGCCAAGCTGTGCACTGCAATACACACTTGTACTCTGAAACTTTGATAGCCTTGACAGTAACATCTATCTCCATGGAGCCACAGCGAGGGCTGAGGCATCGGTATCCTAATGTGTTTTTCATTCACCATGTAGACAGGTTAACACTATAGATGTATTGTCAGAAACTGTAAAATGGTTATTCAGTGCATTTCCAGAGCCATCATATATTAAAAAAGAAAAAAAAATGTTGGGTCATCATGTTCTAGCTGTATGAGGACTGGAAGAGAATTTGGTACTCATGTTCTCCAGACAGTCATCAGGCAGTCAGCATAGTGGTACAAATAGGAGCTTATGGGCTATTGTAAATTAATTCTGTCACTCACTCTGTTGGCTTATCATCTCCAAGTAAAGGGACATTACTGGACTTTTAGTCCTGTTTTATTTGAGTGCCAGGGACACACAGAGTGTCTGTGTTAATATTTTTCAATTAACAAGATCCTTTCTTTCCTGGGTGAGAGTCTGAAATTGTTGTCATTCCATGCACCTACCTGACAATGAGAGGGGAGCAAGTAATAAGCCAGTAAACAGAGCCAGGCTAATCTAACTGCAAAGAAAAAAAAGTGGTTCCATTCTCCAATCTATAGCTGCACATACAAGGCACTATTTTTTTTCTCTATTGTTCTTCAGACTTTTGGCTGGCTTTGGGTGACAGTTGTGGGAAAACTGCAACAATACATGCTGTCTCCACCAATTCACTCTTTGTTTGTTATTAGCAGGAAAAGGCTAGTGTTCATTTTCATCTAATGGTCGATGGGTCTTTCTGCCTATGTGACTGTTTTGGAGATAACGACATCCAGGGAATGTGAAAACAATTTTGTGATTATTATTCTGGATGAAGATGTGTGTTCTCTGTTATAAAGGTTTTGTTCCAGACTATTCCAGATATCCAGCAGTCAGATTGACATTGCCTTTGTTATTGTTTTTTTTGCAGAGATGATTATGGGGATTTCAATATATATAAAGCACCTAGTACAAATTTTACGGTACAGCA